TACGCCAGATAACTACAATTGTTATGAAAATGCTGGTTGGAATTTTAAAAACGCAACGCAATCGGAAAATGAAAAAGGTGAATTTAGTGCTTGCATACCATTGAAATATTGGTTAGGATTGTTTGAGGACTATAAAAGAATATTAGTGAATTCTAGATTGGAATTAATATTAACCCGAAGTCATAGTGATTTAAATGCTTTACAAGTTAAAAGTGGTGCGACTGTCACTGAAGGTAAAGTTACCTTAAATAAAATAGTCTGGAAGGTCCCACATATAACGGTTGACGACGAGGAAAGGTTAAAATTATTGAAACTTATAGAAAAAGAAAAAAGTCTATTTATCCCTTTTAGATCTTTTGAAACTTTTGAATATCCTGAACTCGGAACCACTAAAAAAGTTGTATGGAATTTGAAAACTGCTTCAAAATTAGAAAAACCACGATTTATCATAATTGGATTACAAAAAGGACGTAAGAATTTGCTAACAAAAGATTGTAGTATATTTGACCATTGTAATTTAACAAACGTTAAAGTATTTCTGAACTCTATAGCTTATCCATACGATAATTTGAATTTAGATTTTACTAAAAATAATTTCACCTTATTATATAATATGTATACATCGTTTCAAGAATCGTACTATGAAAAAAGTATTCGTAATCCGATATTGAGTCCTTCTACTTTTCTGACAAACGCTCCAATTATAGTTATCGATACTTCGAAACAGAACGATTCAGCCACAGCCTCAGCAGTGGATGTTCAATTGGAAATTGAAGCTTCAGATTCGCTTACAGGTGTAACTGCTTATTGTTTATTAATTCATGATCGTATTGTAGAATATGTACCTTTTACTAGAGAAGTAAGAAAACTTGTATAAATATTTGTTTAGAATTAATATATAATTGTATTTGTAAATAAAATAATATTTAATAAATAATATATATTTTATCAAATTGTTGTGTTACATTGTGAAGCATGTAGAAATCTCCATGTAAAAAAGGTGCTCAGAACATACATTAGGGTTTTTGAGATTATGTGTTACACGGTGGAGCATGTAGAAATGCCCCCCTTGAAATGATGAAATCTCCCTGTAAAAAAGGTGCTCAGAACATACATTAGGGTTTTTGAGATTATGTGTTACACGGTGGAGCATGTAGAAATGCCCCCTTGAAATGATGAAATCTCCCTGTAAAAAAGGTGCTCAGAAGGAACATTAGGGTTTTTGAGATTATGTGTTACACGGTGGAGCATGTAGAAATGCCCCCTTGAAATGAAGAAATCTCCCTGTAAAAAAGGTGCTCAGAAAGCACAAATATATACTACTTCAAGCTTTCGCAACCAACAAATAAAATTTTATTGAAATTTTTAGAAAAAAAACTAAAAAAAAAATGGAAAATGAAAATGTCCCTAAACAGTTCAAAATAAATCAAAATATTTTGAAAATGTTATCGTGTATAGAAAATGCAAATATAAACAACCAGTGAAAATTTCATGTATATACGTTCATTTGTTTTAGAGTTATACCAATAACCAAAATCGATTTTTTGGAAAATCAATTTTGCGTAAAAATTCCCGTTTTTCCTTAATTTTTATGTTGTTTTTCCCGGCGCTTGTGAAAACTACTGGGAAATTTAAATTTTGACCTCCCCAATGCACCAACGATATTCACTTTCCAATCGAACAAGATACTGAAGTCGAAAATCGAAGCATTATTTCGACTACTTATCGTGTACACAGATACAAAAAAAATTAAAAAATTAAAAAATAAAAAAACACACATCATTGTAAAATCAATACATTCATCGTTTCACTCAGAATCTAAAATGAAAAAAAAAGGAAAATTTAGGATCAAATTTTTTATAAAATAATATACAAATACATAAAGGAACATATTAGCATATATTGGACATAATTAACATGGTGATGGAAAAAGAAATATATTAATCTAGCTTATTTTAAATATAATTAACATGGTAGGTAATGAAAAGAATATATAATATACCACTATTTTATCATATATATATATATTGCACGAAAAAAAAATATATTGTAATAGATTTTAAGAATTCACATTATATTAAAGAATTAATTCATATTATATTAAAACTAAGATAAGATTATTGTTGTAAAACAAAAAAAAATATATTGTTAATCACATAAGATACTAACCTATATAATAAGCATATATATATATTGTAATATTGTGGATTGTAATTTGTATTTTGTCAATAATATTTAATAAATGTAACCAGAAAAATATGGTGGAATGTACCATATAATTACAATAATGTAACTAAATATTTGTAACAAACATATTATGTAAACATGTAATAATTGAATGTAATGTAATAATTGATGTATGTAAAACTTGTAACCATAGGAAAGTGCTTGTCGCTTGAACTAATGGAAGGATAATTGAGTTAATTTTTCTCGTTTTAGACGATAAAAATCAACTTTTAAAGGGGGAGATGTAGACGGTAGTAAGCAAGTTACTACGTAACAATAAAACTAATTCCACAGGTGCATAATTAGTATAATATACTGTAGATCGGCATAAATCGGATATTAGAAACGGGGAAATAGGATTTCCTTCTGCGTTTAACAAAAGGAGACAAGCTCACTGAATAATATCATGACTCAGGCGGAAGGGTTCAAAAATAGGCGGATGTAATATATTTTACAGAAGCACTGAGCACAACGATACTAAAAATGTAAAATGATTATTTTAATGAAATAGACCATAGATTAATAATTAGTAATACGCAGAATATATTGGGAAATCGTTAATGCGTGGGCTGGAACGATGACCACACAAATTACATCCGTGAGACCCGAGATACAGTATCTATAGGCAAGGGGTACGGGGAACCTCATATATAACTATATAAGGGAGCCCGAATCGGCCTGTATTCAGACGTGTACCTACTACCACCCATTAGACATTAGTGCAAGCACCTTCACGCCACTCTGTATGACAATATTTGGACTTAGTAAAATTATTGAAGTGTAATAATAAAATTCACAATTATACAACAACTGTCTATATTATTTAATCATCAACCACGACTACATCATCTGAAGAAGTGTCTTCAACCTGCAACGTTAACGTGCTGGTACCCACTTGTCTGTTATTATATTACAGTAGTAGGCACCAAACGTACCAGCACGTTACATTGTTACAATATTCTAAGTGAGCACAGAATTTGTTCCGTGACCATAACAATTTAAACACTAAAACTTTCGGGCTATATATTTTGACAATTAACTCATTTTAATTACCTACTCATTTTACGATTTTACTTGCATAATTTTAGTTTTTTTTTAAAGATATATTTGAATTAATTAGAATTGTGATTTTGAAAAATGAAACATACCTGGGTACACGCATTGTTTTCATAAATCTATATTCTATAAAGGATATTCTATTCTTATCTAAAATTTATACAAAGGTACATTTGTTTTATGTCATTCTGAATTCTGATTCTAAATAAATCAACTTTTTATTGCTTTTTTGCAATTATTTCAGTAGTCCAATTTTAAATATTAATATGTTTATTAGTTAAAATTTATTTTAATTAATAAGAAATTAAAAACACGATTCCTAGTATTGCATGACGTAATTTCAGCTTTGAAATGTTTTATTTGGGTCAAGGGTAGAACAACTGGAAAAGGGAATCATAATAATTATTATAATATAATAAATAATAATATATAATATTCAATTTTAGGATAAAAATATAAATTTTTAACTCAAAAAGTTTCTTGATTTTTTTTACGAAATTTGTCAAAATTATAACTTCAGACGCTCATAAAAAACTATTGTGGATTTATGGTAGACTTTTTTTTAATTCCCACCAACAACACTTTAGGAGGAATGGTGTAGGTTAGGTAAACATACTTATAATACATATTGTATTAAATGTTCAAATCTTAGATTTAAAAATTAAATTTTTTATGAATTTCTAACTCATACATAATTATTTTCACATTTTCATAATTTTTACGTATTTTGTCAAAATTTGAACTTTAAATATCGCCAGGCAATTTTCAACTGTCATTGGTCTGATGTACAATTGCTTAGTTTACACACAATTTGTTCGATAACTTTGAGGATCGCAAGGTGAATCTAGTTTGGAACACAAATGCTCGTGTTATATGGTCAATTGTCAATTTACTGTAATAAAATCGACTAAGACACTAGGTGGAATTGGCAAACGAGTCCCTGTCGAATAGCTGAGAACTCGAAACAGTCGAAATCACCGCAAAAAACACCATTACATAATATTATGTACATACTCATACATTCACCATTCAGTCTAGTAAGTCTAATAAATATAAACGACGATATACCTAAGTGTTTCAAATAAATAAATAATAAATTTAATAAATTATATGAATATCCTACAGTTTTGGTCCCCATTTAACCACCCCTCCCCCCCCAAAAAATATATGTGGCCTGGAAATGATTTGGATGGCCTTCAACCATTTAGGCACCAAAAAAAAAAAGTTGAAATGTCGCCCCTGCCATTCATCTTGCACGGAAATAAAGCACACCATGGTTGTATACTTGATAGCTTTAAATTGCTTTTTTGGTTGAACTTGGCCGGTTTCAAATAGTTCATAAGTTTCAAGCAAAGATTAATAGATCAGTAAATTAATCCGAGTGATTGCTTTATTGGCTGCACCTCAATATAATAAGTTATTTGCCAAACGCATACGTTCATATAAATCATTACATACCTAATATTTTGTATTCAAACGCGCATCGGCACTAATTAAGTCGATAACATTTCTGAGTATTACAATAATCATTAGTAAAAAATTATAAATCACAAACAATAAAACATTATAATCGACTATTATGTGAATTGTGAATAAAAGAGTGCAAAGTTTTAAATTTTCATCAGTTACACCTATACACTTACGTGCGTTGTTTCATGTTTGTATCACTCATCGTTATTGTATTAATGTATTGACTTAATAAATTTAATACATTCAGTATGAATACGTTTAAGCTTTCTAATATTTTATTTAACATTGTGATTTTACATTTAATTTATGTATCAGAATCGACAGAAGTTTTAACTTGTGCCGAGTATTACGCTAAGTACAAAACTTTAGGAGAATATTATTGCTCTATATATCGGGAGAAATGTATTGACGGCCTCTTTGGTACTTCAGATACTAATTTGCCGTTTTTTGTACAACATAATTTTACATTGGACTCTACATGGAAATCTGTCGGAAAAATTATATATTGTAAAAGTGGTACTTGTCATGCAGAATTTACTATAAAGATTGAAAAAAGTACACAGATTGAATATGGCAATAAAAAATCTTCAACGCAATCGTCCACATTGGGATATAGTGAAGCTGTTGCAAAGGCTATAGCTGACGGTGTGAATGCTGGTTTTTCGGGCATAGGCATACAATTTCGCGTATCGACTGAAACTTCTGTACAAAGTGATAGTGAACGATCATATGAAGTTACTAATAAGAATGGTTTTACTGTATTGTATTCAACTAGTACAGCAAATACTGTCGGTGCGGAAGAAAAAATCACATGTGATGGGGTTCAAAATGAAAAAATATTTATGGAGGCGCGAACAAACATGACACGATTGAAGGGCAACGCTTGCGAATTCATATGTAATGATACATGGAATAGTAGACTCCTTTACAAGTGTAATTATGTTGATTTAAAAATGTATCCAGTACATAATGAAAATATAGTCATCGAATTGCAATGTAACCGTGAAATAATAAATTTATATAATGAACTATAATAGAATTATTAGAACTAAATTGTAATAAACAATATTAGTAGTATTGTTGAATAATAAAAAAAATTCATTAAATTATGTATATTGGTTTTTATTTTTTCAGTATAAAAACATTAATTATATCGAAAACCGCGTTCAAGGTTATCTTGTATTATCATAGACATGTAAAGTATAAAGTCAAATTTCTAAAAATAAAATGTATATTTTAAATTGGCATGACGTCGGCGTCCTTCCTTCTAGCACTTGTGCAGTTGTGCTTAAAATTCTAAGTAATTTTCAAAAGCGCCAAGAAAAACAAAAGGAAAACTAAGGAAAAACGGGAACTTTTACGCAAAATCGATTTTTCACAAAATCGAATTTGGTTTTTTTTGTAACTTTAAAAAAAAAAACCGTAAGTACATGACATTCTCACTGATTGTTTATATTTGTATTTTCTATACACGATATTATTTTCAAAATATTTTGATTTATTTTGAACTATTTAGGGTCATTTTCATTTACCATATATAAATATCAATAAAGTTTTATCTATTGGGACAAAAAGTGTAAAAAATGTAACACAAGGCTCCTGATAAATTGTTACAATATTAAATAATTATTTTGTAGTTAAAAATCTATAAAATGTTCAACTTTTATATCTAAGGATTGAAAATTTAAAACAAGATACCACGTAAGTAGTTTATTCTGTTACCAAAAAATCTAAAAACTACATTACCACAGTTTATTTTTATAGTTATTTTAAGTTCAAATTTGGACGAAATTACATATTAAAAAACCTAGAATAACTATTTTAGTTATTTTGTTGTGATTGTATAATATCATTAGTGGGTACTTGAAACTTCTAAAGTGTACTATTATATCTCTATGATAGTATCAAGGTTTGTTGTTGATGTATAACGCGTTATAAATAAGTAACTAATGGATATTGTGATATGAATTATTTGGAATTTATTATAAGTTCCTATTAAAGGTCAATTTTTTTTTTTTAATGCCATTGTAGATATGTATATAATATTATAATATGTCTTAAACCTAGACTGACATACCGTCTCCGCTCAGAATCGTTTTTCTTATACAATTATATTATATCATTGAATTCAAATTTAATACCATCTATTATACAGTGACCCACTAGTAACCTACTGTACAGCAGAGCACCTTTTTTCATTATGATTTACATAATTAAATATAAAAATAAAATATATAATATTCTGAAATACTAGTTTAATATTAGGTATGTAAATTAATAAACTGTTAAATTGTTAAAACATTAATGAAAACAATTGTTTGTCATTTATTATTAAATTTATTATTATATTATTAGGTATGTATCTAATTTAATATTTATTATAATTTACACTAGACAATACATTTATTTTATTAAATTAAGGTAACTATAAAAAGAATTACATCCAGTATATGACATTAAACAATAACTAATTATATCACAGTTAAAAAATGATATAACATAATATATAAATATTAAATATAATATATAATAAATGGTTCAGTAACATATTATATATTAGGTATTACCTACTTATTAATTTTTATAAAGTAGGTATACAATTATAGCTTCAATCTGCATTTTACATTGTCAATAATTATCATTTGTAAATAGTTAAAAAAATGTTTAAAGGTAAATAATTGTCATTTTGTCAATTGTATATAATTTAAAAAAAATTAACTGTGTACAAATTTAAAATAATTTAGTGGCATTGCTTTCTAATGTTGTGGCCAACTGCCATAAGAAAATCTAATATACTTATATATCATTATTTTTATTTTGCACACATACATTTTTTAGGCGGTTTTCAGTTGATTGTTTTGTACCTAGTTTTGTACTCTGTACTCAGTCTCCTACATTACTCAACGCCAATTTTGCTTGGTCTGCAACAACTTCCATTTCCGTTTTTTTTATTAAATTCCAAGTTGTTGGATGCTTTTGAGCACAGAGCTTTGATAAGCGGTTATTCCAAACCACTGTATTATTGTTGGGGCGATGCCCACTTTTAAATGTTCACTCATATACATTCCACATAGGCAGTGGAAATAAGGGAGGTAGGTAAATAAACGAAGCAGTTCCTACTCTCCTGTTTTTACCATTCACATAATAAAAATCAAAATAAAACAAAAAGTCTTCTGCATGAGGTGGTATATTTTCTTTCAAGCACTTCATTCCATTTATCACTTTATAGTTTATCCAGATGCAGAAAAGGTAAGCTATCGATCATACCACAATACTTTCTAAAGTCACTATCTTCTTTGTAAATGGTTGCCAAACCAAGTTTTTGTAATTTTCTATGAGCCGACTGACATAAATGATAAAACACCCATTTACCGTAATATGGCTTAATAAAATATTTTTAGGGGCATTTAATGCTTGCCAAGTTAAGGGTTAAGCTCGCGATTCTCAATAATTTGAAATTTTAATAATTTATTATTTTAAATAATTGTGATATTGAAAAATGAAACATACCTGGGTACACGCATTGTTTTCATAAATCTAATTTTTATATAAAGGTACATTTGTTTTATGTCATTCTGATTCTAAATAAATAAACATTTTATTGCTTTTTTACAATTATTCTAGCTGTGGCATTTTAATTTTGAATACCTATGTTTATTGTGGAATAATAATAAAATTAATTTAATTTAATTAATAAAAAATTAAAAACCCGATTCCTAGTAGTCCATGACAGTAGTTACAGCTCTGAAATGTTTTATTTGGGTCAAGGGTAGAACAACTGGAAATGGGAATCATAATAATTATTATAATATAATAATATATTATATTCAATTTTAGGATAAAAATAAAAATTTTTAACTCAAAATGTTTCTTGATTTTTTTATGAAATTGGTCAACATTTTAACTTCATACGCTCATAAAAATCTATTGTGGATATATGGTAGACTTTTTTTTAATTCCCACCAACAACACTTTAGGAGGAATGTTGTAGGTTAGGTAAACATACTTATAATGCATATTGTATTAAATGTTCAAATCTTAGATTTAAAAATTAATTTTTTTATGAATTTCTAACTCATACATAATTATTTTCACATTTTCATAATTTTTACGTATTTTGTCAAAATTTGAACTTTAAATATCGCCAGGCAATTTTCAACTGTCATTGGTCTGATGAACAATTGCTTAGTTTACACACAATTTGTTCGATAACTTTGAGGATCGCAAGGTGAATCTAGTTTGGAACACAATTGCTCGTGTTGTATACTTGTATGGTCAATTGTCAATTTACTGTAATAAAATCGACTAAGACACTAGGTGGAATTAGGGACATTTTCATTTTTCAGTTTTTTTTAGAAACATCAATAAAATTTTATATGTTGGTTAAAAAAACTTGAAAATTTAATAGAAGGCTCCTAATATGTCGTTTCAAAGGCAGATGAAAAATATTAAAAATCGTTAGTCACAGTTTTTTTTTATAAGCATTTAAAGTTCAAAAATTGACAAAATATGGAAAAATCACGAAAATTAGCAAATTATTTTGAGTTAAGAATTCGTAAAAATTTTTCTTTTTAAATCTAAGATTTGAAAATGAAACACAAGATTCCTTATAAGATTATCTACCTTTATCAATAAAAAATCTCTACCGGACAGTCAAATTAATTTATGAGTGTTTGAAATTCAAATTTTTACAACATTGGATATTCACTTGATTTCACATGTAGCGATTTTCTTATTTTGTTGTAATTCAAAAAACGAATAACTATAGATACATGAAAATTTCACTGAATGTTCAGATTAGCATTTCCTATACACTGTACAATTTTGAAAATATTTCGACTCTTTTTGAGCTGTTTACGGACATTTTCAGTTTTTAATTTTTTTAGTTTTTTTTTTCTATAAATACAATAAAGTTTTATCTGTTGGGCCGAAAAGTGTAAAAATGTAATACAAAGTTCCTGATATATTGTTACAGTAGCAATTGAAAAATATTAAAAATACATAGGCACAATTTTTTTTATAAGCATTTAATCATTAAATTTTGAGATAATTTATCAAAATCTCGAAAATTATCAATCATTGTAATTAATAAATTATAAAATGTTCAGTTTTTATAGCTAAAAATTGCAAATTTAAAACAAAGGTTATCATAAATAGTTCATACTGTAACCAAAGAATCTAAAAAATATATGAACACAGTTATTTTTTACAGACATTTTAAATTCAAATTTGGACGAAAATACATATTAAAATCAATATTAACGATCTTTGTTTTTGTTGTGAATAAGAATTATGCTCATGATAAGACTGTGCATATTTTAAGGAATTTATTCATAAATTCCATATAATTTAATACCATAGAAAAGTATATTATAATATGTCTTATACCTAGACTGACTATCGTCTCCGCTCAGAATCGTTTTTCTTGATATTATATCATTGCATTCAAATTTAATACCATCCATTATACAGTGACCCACTTGTAACCTACAGTACAGAAGAGCGACATCCACTTACCCACCTTTTGTTAACATGTACATGTATTCATTTTTTTTTTTATGAATTGAAGAACCTACCTACCCATAATATAATTTGTATAATTTATATGTATATATATAATTTTTATCTATACTATAAAATATAAATATATAAAGAAAAAAATATATTGTAGGGCACCAAGTAATTTTTGTTACTAGGGCACCATAATAAGGTCTAGTTGCGCCACTGGCTGAGAACTCGAAACAGTCGAAATCACCGCAAAAAGCACCATTACATAATATTATGTACACACTCATACATTCACCATTCAGTCTAGTAAGTATAATAAATATAAACGCCGATATACCTCAGTGTTTTAAATAAATAAATAATAAATTTAATAAATTATACGAATATTCTACAGTTTTTGTCCCCACTTAACCAACCCTCTCCCCCAAAAAAAAAATATATGTGGACCAGTAATGATTTGAATGGCCTTCAACCATTTAGGCACCAAAAAAAAAGTTGAAATGACGGCCCTGCCATTCACCTTACACGGAAATAAAGCACACCATGGTTGTATACTTGATAGCTTTAAATTGCTTTTTTGGTTGAACTTGACCGGTTTCAAGCAAAGATTAATAGATCAGTAAATTAATCCGAGTAATTGCTTTATTGGCTGAACCTCAATATAATAAGTTACTTGCAAATGCATAAGTTCATATTAATCATTACATATTTTGTATTCAAACGCACATCGGCACTAATTAAGTCGATAACATTTCTGAATATTACAATAATCATTAGGAAAAAATTATTAATCACAAGTTTAGGTTATAGATTAACCGAATATTATGTGAATAATTGTCATGTGAATCATCATTTACACCAATACACTTACGTGCGTTGTTTCATGTTTGTATCACTCATCGTTATTATGTATTAACGTATTGACTTAATAAATTTAATACATTCAGTATGAATACGTTTAAGCTTTCTAATATTTTATTTAACATTGTGATTTTACATTTAATTTATGTATCAGACTCGACAGAAGTTTTAACTTGTGACGAGTATTACGCTAAGTACAAAACTTATGGAGAAGATTGCAATATAGATAGTGGGAAATGTATTGGCGGTACAATTTACAATCCAGGTACTAATTTGCCGTTTTTTGTACAAAATAATTTTACATTGGACTCTACATGGAAATCTGTCGGAAATATTATATATTGTAAAAATGGTACTTGTCATGCAGAATTTACTATAAAGATTGAAAAAAGTACACAGATTGGATATGGCAATAAAAAATCTTCAACGCGATCGTCCACATTGGGATATAGTGAAACTGTTGCAAAGACTATAGCTGACAGGGTGAAAGCTGGTTTTTCGGACATGGGCATACAATTTGACGGGTCGATTAAAACTTCTGTACAAAGTGATGGTGAACTATCATTTGAAGTTACTAATAAGAATGGTTTTACTGTATTGTATTCAACTAGTACAGAAAATACTCTCAGTGCGGAAGAAAAATTCACATGTGATGGAGTTCAAAATGAAAAAGTATTTATGGAGGCGCGAACAAACATCACACGATTGAGGGGCAACGTTTGCGAAGTTTTATGTAATAATTTTGGTCCGACGAATGAAAACCTTTTCAAGTGTAATTACGTTGATTTAAAAATGTATCCAGTACATAATGAAAATATAGTCATCGAATTGCAATGTATCCGTGAAAAAATAGATTTATAAAATTAACTATAATAGAATTATTAGAATTATTAAAACTATTGTAGTAAACAATATTAGTGGTATTGTTGAATAATAAAAAAACATTCATTAAATTATGTATATTGTTTTTATTTTTTCAGTATAAAAACATTAATTATATCGAAAACACCGCGTTCAAGGTACCTAATCTTGTATTATCATATACACGTAAGGTATAAAATCAAATTTCTATAAATAAAATGTATATTTCTCATTGGCATGACGTCGGCGTCCTTCCTTCTAGCACTTGTGCTTAAAATTCTAAGTAATAAAGCGCCATGAAACACAAAAGAAAAATTAAGGAAAAACGGGAATTTTTACGCAAAATCGATTATTCAAAAAATCGAATTTGTTTTTTTTTTGTAACTTTAAAAATAATAACAGTAGGTACCTGGTACATGCAATTTTCACTGGTAGTTTATATTTGCATATTCTATACACGATAACATTTTCAAAATATTTTGATTTATTTTGAACTGTTTAGGGACATTTTCATTTTCCATATATAAATATCAATAAAGTTTTATCTATTGGGCCAAAAAGTGTTAAAAATGTAACACAAGGCTCCTGATATATTGTTACAATATTGAATAATTAAAATTGAATAATTATTTTCTAGTTAAAAATCTATAAAATGTTCAACTTTTATAATATCTAAGGATTGAAAATTTAAAACAAGATTCCACGTAAGTAGTTTATTCTGTTACCAAAAAATCTAAAAACTACATTAGCACAGTTTATTTTTATAGTTATTTTAAGTTCAAATTTGGACGAAATTACATATTAAAAAACCTAAAATAACTATTTTAGTTAATTCGTTGTGATTGTATAATATCATTGGTGGGTAGGTACTTGAAACTTCTAAAGTGTACTATTATATCTCTATGATATGGTATCACGGTTTGTTGTTGATGTATAAAGCGTTATAAATAAGTACCTAATGGATATTGTGATATGAATTATTTGGAATTTATTATAGATGCCTATTAAAGGTCAATTTTTTTTTTAATGCCATTGTAGATATGTATATAATATATGTCTTAAACCTAGACTGACATACCGTCTCCGCTCAGAATCGTTTTTCTTATACAATGATATTATATCATTGAATTCAAATTTAATACCATCCATTATACAGTGACCCACTAGTCATAGGCGGCAACTATTGGGGCATGAGGGTGCAGTTGCACCCACGACAATTTTTCTTGGGGGGGGGGGGCAAAAATATCATTTTGCACTCACACACAGACAATCACAACAGTAAAAAAAGGTGGGTAAGTGGATGTCGCTCTGCTGTACAGTAGGTTACAAGTGGGTCACTGTATAATGGATGGTGATTCAATGATATAATATCATTGTATAAAAAAACGATTCTGAGCGAAGACGGTATGTCAGTCTAGGTTTAAGACAAATTATATACATATCGATATCTATGGTATTAAAAAAAAATTGACCTATAATAAATTCCAAATTAATCATATCACATTATCACAATATCCATTAGGTACTTATAACACGTTATACATCAACATCAATAACAAACCCTGATACTATCATAGATATATAATAGTACACTTTAGAAGTTTCAAGTAGGTACCCACGAATAATATTATATAATCACAACAAAATAACTAGGTTTTTTAATATGTAATTTAGTCCAAATTTGAACATAAAATGACTATAAAAATAAACTGTGATTGTATATTTTTTAGATTCTTCGGTAAGAGAATTAACTTCTTACGTGCAATCTTGTTTTAAATTTTCAATCCTTAGCTACAAAAACTGAACAGTTTATAATTTATTAATTACGATGATTAATAATTTTCGAGATTTTGAAAAATTCTGTCAAAATTCGATGTTTGAATGCTTATAAAAAAAAATTGTGCCTATGTATTTTTAATATTTTTCAACTGATATTGTAACAATATACCAGGAGCCTTGTATTAAATATTTACACTTTTTGGCCCAACAGATAAAACTTTATTGATATTCATAGAAAAAAAAACTAAAAAAATTGAAAAATGAAAATATCCGTAAACAGCTCAAAAAGAGTCAAAATATTTTCAAAATTGTATGGTGTATAGGAGGAAATGCTAATATAAACATTGAATAAAATTTTCATGTATCTATAATAATTCGTTTATGAATAACAACAAAATAAGGAAATCGCTACATGAGAAATCGAGTGAACATCCAATGTTGTAAAAATTTGAATTTCAAAGGCTCGTAAAAATTGAATTTGACTGTCCGGTAGAGATTTTTTTATTGATAAAGGTAGAAAAACTTATGAATAATCTTGTATTACATTTTCAAATCTTAGATTTAAAAAGAAAAATTTTTACGAATTCTTAACTCAAAATAATTTGCTAATTTTCTTGATTTTTCCATATTTTGTCAATTTTTGAACTTTAAAATGCTTATAAAAAAAAACTGTGACTAACGATTTTTAATATTTTTCATCTGCCTTTGAAACAATATACTAGGAGCCTTCTATTAAATTTTCAAGTTTTTTCAACCAACAAATAAAATTTTATCGACATTTCTAGAAAATAAACTAAAAAAAAATGAAAAATGAAAATGTCAATAAACAGTTCAAATTAAATCAAAATATTTTGAAAATGTTGTCGTGTATAGAAAATGCAAATATAAACAACCAGTGAAAATTGCATGTATCTACGGCCATTTGTTTTAAAGTTAAACCAAAAACCAAATTCAATTTTCTGAAAAATCGATTTTGCGTAAAAATTCCTGTTTTTCCTTAATTTTTCTTTTGTTTTTCTTGGCGCTTTTGAAAAGTACTGGGAATTTTAAATTTTGACCTCCCTAATGCACCAACGATATTCACTTTCCAATCGAACAAGATACTGAAGTCCAAAATCGAAGCATTATTTCGACTACTTATCGTGTACACAGACACAAAAAAAATAAATAAACATACATCATTGTAAAATCAATACATTCATCGTTTCACTCAGAATCTAAAATATTTTAATTATTTTATTGTTAACAATTATACTGATATAATGTAATTTTGATATTAAAAAATAACCATGGATCATTTCAATATTTTATATCGGATTACTCAATTAATTAGTTAATTAAATAATTATTTAATTATACGGACTAAAATCTTAGTCAGTGATTAAATGTTAAAATACTAATAATAATAATTAAATAATGCAGTAAGCTAATGAAGCTATAAGAAGTTTTGAAGAATTGAGAACAGATTACAATTTTCAGAAAGTATTGGAAAAGGTTACTATTGTTTCAAAAAATAAAGGTTTTAGTGAGCCTAACCTTCCACGCATTAAATCAGTACCATTAAAATTAGGTGGTGGCAAAAAACAAACTATACAGACTGTTCAAGATCATTTTCGTATAAATGTATTTTTTGGAATTATAGATACAGTAATGATGTGCATGAAGAGTAAATTCAAAGAAAATTATTTAAGTTTGTTGAATTCTATGAATAATGTCTTATTTAATAAAAACCTTATTAATCAGTCAATAGAGGAAGTTTGTTATGCATACAAAATAGAATCAAATGATTTATCAAGTGAGATAAAAAAGTAAATAGATTATTTATACCTAAATCATGAATGTGATACAATTATAAAAAAGATAAATTATATTAGATCTAAAGATATTCAGACAGGATTCCCAAATTATACAAATATATTAAAGATTTTTTTAACTATTCCTACAAATACTGCATCTAATGAACACAGTTTCTCAGCTCTACGGAAATTAAAAACATACTTAAGAGTCACAATGAGTCAAGAGCGATTGAGCAGTTAAGCAATCTTATATATTATACAAAAAGAATACCCTATAGATTTTGATAATATAATTGACAAGTTTGATGCTGAGGCTTCAATAAGAGGTCGTCGTTTGACACTGAAGTAGTGAAGTTGACAAATACTTAATAATTATGTTACACACAGTTAATTTTTTTTTTTTAATTATTATTTATGTCAAAATAAAAAGTTGTTTTTTAATAATATTTTTACATATTCATGTACATATTTGAAATACAGAAACCCAATTGGAATAGTTATTAATAAAGACATTTTTTTATTTCATTTATATAATAAATATATATAATAAATAGTTCAGTAACATATTATATATTAGGTATTACCTACTTATTGATTGTTATAAAGTAGGTATACAAGTATAGCTGCAATCTGCATTTTACATTGTCAATAATCGTCATTTGTACATAGTTAAAAAAATGTTTAAAGGTAAATAATTGTCATTTGTCATTTGTATATAATTTTAAAAAATGTTTAAAGGTAAATAATTGTCATAGTCAATTGTATATAATTTAAAAAAAATTAAAATAATTAAAAAAATGTAACTGTGTACAAATTTAAAATAATTTAGTTGCATTGCTTTCTAATGTTGTGGCCAACTGCCATAAGAAAATCTAATATACTTATATATCATTATTTTTATTTTGCATACATACATTTTTTAGGCGGTTTTCAGTTGATTGTTTTGTACCTAGTTTTGTACTCTGTACTCTGTCTCCAACATTACTCAACGCCAATTTTGCTTGAGGTGGTATATTTTCTTTCAAGCACGTCATTCCATCTATCACTTTATCCAGAGGCAGAAAAGGTAAGCTATCGATCATACCACAATACTTTCTAAAGTCACTATCTTCCTTGTAAATGGTTGCCAAACCAAGTTTTTGTAATTTTCTATGAGCCGACGGACATAAATGATAAAACACCCATTTACCGTAATATGGTTTCCTAAAATATTTTTAGGGGCATTTATTACAGCCAACTCAAAGTCCAAGTATAGTAAGTCCAAGGCGAGTATCTTGGAGCTGGATACGTATTGAAGGTTTTACATCCATTTATTATAATATTAAACATTTCCTCATATGTAACTTGAGTTTTAAGCTCAAGAATACAATAAACAGCTATAGTAAACACTGCATTTTTCTGTACACGTATCACACATAATTGTTT